TAAACCCTAAACCCTACACCGGTCTGGGATGGGATGAAGGATGCCTTGATCCTCATCCTTGCAGGGCCAAGGAGCGGGAGGAGCTATGGCCGGCTGCCTTCAGCAGACATGTCTCAGGATTCGCGACGTTATGCTTTTGTGTTTGGGGCTTTTGGGATTGAGGGACATGTTTCAGGATTCGTGATGTTATGCCTTTGTGTTTGGGGCTTTGGGAATTGAGGGTTTCGACCCTCACACTCGCACAAGGCACGCATGGCTTCAAGCACATCCACACGACTCCATTGCTACCGTAGCTATCTCAGGTGTGACTGTACAGCCACCACCATCCGATCATTAGCATGCACCAAGTACTTTTCGGCTCATGATTAGGGTTCAGGAATTTAGACTTGCTGCTTAAGGATTGAGAGTTAGGACTAAGGTGTTCAGGGTGTAGGCCCAGTGTAGGCTTTTTGAATGAACATAGGGATCCTGGGTGCAAGCTTTCCGCTGGTGTGGTGCAAAAGTTCCTTTACTTGGTTGCTTTGGCTTTCAGAGTCATGCCCATGCGAGGCTGGGGTGTGCAAGGTGTTGTTGTTGCTGTTGGCTTGTCGTGCGGGCACTACAAGAACAGCTTTCTGAACAACGACTTCAGATTCCACAAGTCGAAAGAGCAAAATCTTCAACTCCGAACGCAACACCATCGACAATCTAGGCTTCAGGGTGCCTGATCTAGGCTGAAGTATATTTAAATCCGGGAGGTAAGGTAATCATTACATGTTCCGCCTCGGAGAGTTGGACACAAAAGATACATGGTTACATGGTCTAATGCTTTCTAACATGTTTCTTCATACCCCCTGTATACTGCATGCGCATGACAGCATAAACGATATGCCTGAACATCTACGTGCGCTTTGTTTGTTTCAGGGTCCTTTTGATTGATGGCAAGCTCATGTAGAAATGGATACCTCAGCAGCCAACCAAAGAGTCAATTCGGAACCCGACATCAACCTCCCCAAACAAACCCTGCATCCGAACCCCAACCCCAAAGCTATAAACCCCTACAGCCTAAAGCTGTGCCGAAGCCTGGCAGCAGGGGAGTCTCAGAATGGGGAGGAAATCTATTCTTTTCATTTGGGGCTTAGGGGGGGCGTAACTCGAGACACCCTGAAAAAGCCCTAAACCCTAAACCCTATCTAAAACCTAAACCGTCTGAGAGATTCGGGGCAAGGGATTCCTCACAACTCCACATACCCTCCACACCCACCTTCTGTCTGCAACTCTCGAACTTTCCTACTCATATCATCAAAGCATCTTCGGCCTTTTTTGGGGGCATCTTCGGGCTTTTTTGGACATCTTGGAGCCTTTCTGGGTTCCACATATCCCCCAAACCCTATGTACACACCTCTGTGCATCTAAAAACTGCCCCAATCACGTCGCCTCCTTGAGCTTTCGTGCCAGAACTAGGTTGAACCAAGACCCTTGGGGGGGGAGGGTTCTGAATGCAATTCCGGGCGGGCGTAACCCAAGTACCTCATTCCAATGATTCAGGTCCCTGTACTAAAAGTGCTCAAAACCCTGACAGAATCCTTTAAAGGAGCCCTATTCTAAGTTTTTAAGGCGCGCCGTTATAAGAAGCCTTAAAAGAACTTGACGGAACCCTGTGTTTGGCTCCCGCGTGGCAGCATCCGAAGGAAAGGAACCCTGCTAAACGATGTTATACATGTAATATAGGGGCCTTAATAATTAGAATAGGGTTTGGGGGCCCATTCTACTTTGACTGATAATAAGGAAGCCCCCCCAAAATAGCATGGGTAATTATTTAGG